GTTTTTTTACCCTCGAGGAACACCAGGGTACCACTTCCATGCCAGCAGAACATATCCCATATTATGATACTCCCGCCAGACCCTTGCACAGTGCGAGTAAGGCATGATGGATTCGTGACTTCATGGGGGTCTCGCCAAATTCGATGTGTTCCGTTAGTGCAAAATAAGGTGTAGCGGGATTTATCCGATCACATTACCTGTTTCCAATCCTCAGATGTCCAGTGTCTTCTTTCCCGACACTGCTGCAAACGAATTCTTGCATCTCGAGCAGAAATGAGTGGTTTTCTCACAGGCACCCGACTATGCATTCCTATCCTCTGCAATTCTCTGCGCATGGTTCGAGCTGAAACTTGTTGAGAAGAGCCTTGGCTGATCTGTATCAATTGAAGCACAGTAGAGACCTTGTTCTGCCTTACAGTTAGTCGGAGACGGCGCTGATCACTCTCTTGGAAAACTGTGCTCGAACCGCAGTTACGTCTTCAATACAAGGACTGTAGGTTCTGATTCCGACTTTTGAAAACTTTTAGTATGACTGCTTTTGAGAATCTGGTGAGATTTGCTGTCTTCGAAATGGAGGCCCATGCTAAACGAGCACCAACAATAAGTCCTTTTTCAAATGGTGAAAGATCTGTCTTTTCTCCCACTTTACTTTATTCATCGTGAAAAGCACTTTTACACCTTGCTTATACTAGCATTCTAACCAGGCCACGTCATAAAAAAAATTGCATACTTCATCTCTAGCACGCATTCAAATGAAAATCTCAAAGGTTCCCAATTCATTGGCCAGTACGCGAATGTGCTTTAAAGGCTGATTTAAGATGCCGATGGAAGTGTTCGATAATTCCATTTGACTGGGAATAATATGCAGAGGTTCGAATCCTGTAGCACCCAAATGTGCGAGTAAGTTCTCTAAAAACATTAGATTCAAAATTTTTACCCTAATCAGATTTAAGTGTAACTGAGCATTCAAATCTGGATATCAGCCATGTACTAAGGCACGAACTGCTGTTTCCGCAATCATGTCAGTTGTTGTTGGAGTCATCTTATGAACCAGTCTATGACAGTCATGCAAAACTGTTTTCAAGGGCCTATAAAATCTATATGTATGTGTGCCAAACGAGCATTGGGTTCAGAAAATATGCCAATAAGAGATTTAGTTTGTTTAGCGATTTTAGCTCGTTGACATTGATCACAGCTGCGCACAAAAGATTTTGTTTCTTTTCTCATGCCTGGCCGTACAAAAAGTTTTGCGAATAAATCGAGGGAGGCTGCGACACTGGGATGAGAGAAAAATGTAAAGTTTTTAAAACCCCTAATCTCATACGAACAAAGGATGAGGATGTTTTTGTGACATCTAACAGTACAGATGAATATCCTTGAGAGAGAAATAATGTTTCCCTAATTTTAGGGAGGAGGTATTGAGTAGTGAAGAATTTTTCAAAATCGAGCACAGTAGGTGAAATGTCATCTATCTTAATTCCGGATAGTGCATCGGCGACAGTGTTATCAGAGCCTTCAGTGTATTCAATATGAGTGATAAACTGAGAAATAAAATCCAAATGGCGTAATTGGTGAGGACTGCATTTGTCAGGATGTTGCTGGAATGGAAATATAAAGGGGTTTCTGATGAGTATAGGTGACAAAATTTATTCCCTTAAGCATATGTCTAATTTTTTTCACTGGATCCATAGCATAGAGTTTATGGATATAAGTGGACCAATTTTTTTGAGATTTGCTTAGTTTAGCCGAATAGAAGGTTGTGGGTTCGCACTGTTATTTAACACGCTGTATGAGCGAGCCGCCGATTGCTACATCAGACGCATGGACCCATAGACTTAATTGTATTGACCATAGACTTAATTGGATGCCGTAACAAGGTTGCTTTAGCGATATCCTTAGCCGCTTTGAAGGAGAGTGTTGCTTCATCGTCCCATTGTAATCGTTCGGTAGAAGCTTTGCAACGAGAATGTCTCTTTTTATTAGTTTGGCTTGAGGGAATTTTACTAAGGCAGCTAAAATGTGAGCTGCTCTAGGAACACAGCGTCTATAAAATTCAATGAACCTAAGAATCGGCGTAATTGCGTAAAAGAGTCTGCGGCTGAAAAATTTCTAGGATGAATTTTGCACGATCAGAGAGGGATTCAATTCCTTCACCCGATAACTTAAATCCTAAGAAGTCTATGGTATATTGACGAAATTTGTTTTTCTCGACATTTATACACAAACTATATTCCTGAAGTTTAGAAAATAACAGGTTTAAATGCTATACGTGTTCTTGTTCAATATTAGAAGTTACAAGGAAATCATCAATAAATGCGTAAACAAAAGACAAATCTCTAGTGATCTTGTCGATAAACCGTTGAAAGGTTGAGGAAGCATTACAAAGAACTGTATTCTCAAACTTTCAAACAAACCAAAGGGAGCACATATAGGTGTTTTATATACATCATCCGGATGTATAGATATTTAGTGATACGAGATCAATGTGACTAGACATTTGTTTACCATGCAATTCTGCAGTAAAATCAGCTATGCATGGAATAGGATACATTTCTTTGACAGTCTGTGCATTAAGACAGCGATAGTCGCCAACAGGTCTTCATTCAACAGAACCTTTCTTGGGCACCATATGCAAGGGCAAAGAATAGGAGCATTTTGAAGATCTCTGCGAAGATTAGGAGCATTTTGAAGATCTCATATGATCCAGTTGAATCATGTACTGAAATTCAGCTTTAGCAGTTCTGATTCAGCTTTAGCAGCTAGCCGTCTAGGTTTAGCAGCAATAAATAGGAGGCCCTTTAGTGTTTATATAATGCACAGCATTGTGTTTCACAGGGTGATCTGGATTCAGTAATTTAGTACTATCAGGATATTGTAACAATAATTTACCAAATACATTATTAACACAAGAGTATTTTACAGAAAAAATACTGCAATTATTTAATTTGGCAGATACTTTAAAATTTGTTGTTAGACGCTTATTTACGTAATTAAGGAGATAAATTGAAGAAATATAAGAAATCTGCACCAATGATCGAGCATGTGATAGTACAAATATAAAAAGAGAAAGAAAAATTGCGTCTTAAACCAAAATCAACAGTTATTGTTTTACGACCATAGACATTAATGGATGATCCATTTGCATCACGAAATGTTTGGAGTACTGGTGCCTTCAATTCAGATTTATTGGGAACAATTAAACTGGCATCACTGCCAGAATCTATTAGAAAACACTTACGTACATGTCGGTCGATCTGTAATGAAAGGGCGACGCGATGTGTCTTTTGTTTTCCATTGTCCTTGCATTTTTAATACCAGCATAACTTGGCGTCATGCGATTTGGGACCGCCAGAAAAACTGCCACGGGATTAACTCCTGGAACGTAGTAAGGAAACGTTTTTCCGAAGAACTTTGATTTCTTCACGAAGTAGAGCCCGAGATGAAGAACTGGCTTTTTTTTCCGAAGAAGATGCGTTGTTACAGACGAAAGCGGATATATTTGTGTTATTTAAAAATTCGATCTGCTACTTCCGCCGCTTTATGCGAAGTAATAGGAGAGATGGAAGCTAGTATAGTTTGTACATGAACAGGCATCGTTTGATTTAAGGGTTGTCAAATAGGAGTGAGTCGTCTATAATGTGGTTCTCTGCTCGACGCTTCATAATGCGGAGCACTTCGTTGAACTTCCGATCACCGAGGCCTACGCATGCTAGCAGCCGACGAATTTGAGTCTGATTCCGAATATCTTTCGATAATTTTTGATTTCAGATCCTCATATGGTTTGACTTTATCGGATTGAATGATGACATCAAGAATAACAGTGGCGATATTAGGTGGTGAGTGAGTCACGACATAGTTGAATTTTGTTTCTTGTTCCCTTATACGTATAGGAATAGCTAATTCAAACATCGATTCCAACATGTGAAATCAAAGAGATGGATCAACTTGAATAAAAGGTGGAATCACCACAGCGGAAGTTGAATCAGTTATTGTTTTCAGGTGGAACACACGCCACCTGAAACGGGTGAACACACGCCACCTGAAAACACACGCCAGCGGGAAGAATCAAAACCAAAAGTGTCCATTACTCTAAAACATTTCACGTCCTAAAGTCTCCATTAACCTTCTAAAACCGGACCGAAATTCTCATAATATAGCCTTCAGACCGGCGTGATCCGAAACAGTTTAGCCCCCTCTTTGACAATTTTCTAATGAGAAAAGTCGTTAGTCCCCCTCCATGGATGCAGTAAAATTTACATGTTTGTCCAACGCTGTCCCATAGTAGACGAATATTTGAATACTTTTATTTTGAATTATATTTTGAATATTTTATAATTCATAAATGTATCTATATAATATTAATATTAATTAATCAGGGCAGAATGGGCAACATGCGTATTAGCAACATTTATTGTAATTGATGTACTGTTGTAAATGTTTGTAGAATCGACCCTTCCCTATCAGGTCTGGTATTGATTTTTTTTTTTTTAAATTATTATATTAGATGCATGTTTTTCTCCCAATATCATCATCATATTTGGTCAGGGAAATTGTTTAGTTTGGGAGCCCTGCAAATGCGTGTTTTTTGTATTTAGCATATATTTGGTATAACAAATGCGAATAATGAATTTTAAGTAGATATGTTTCTCCATTTAATAAATGGTAACAATCTTTGTTTGTATTTTAACTAGATGAGGTTAAAAAAGCTGTTATGTTCTTATATATAAAATGACAAAGTTTGCCTTGTAAATAAGTAAAAAATGAGCGTTAAAAATTGATGGAATGTATTAAAATGTATTTTTCTCAAAGTGTTTAATTTTTTTTGGAAGACGCCTTTGTATAACCACATTTATTATCATCCAAAAATTATCAAAGTTGCAGTTTTGATAGCTATAGACTATCTTAAATGCGTACATTTTTTTAAGTGTGAGTCTTTCCTGTTTGCGCTGTTATGGTTTATAACAAGATCATGTGATTAGTGACTGCACTGATTACTCTCATTATTTTTTGAACTTTTATTGTATATATTCATAAGCATAAAATAATTTCCTTTTAGGTATAATAAGAAACGCCATATAGGGGGGAGGGAATAAATTCTCCAATGTAGCTCTTATAGAAATAAGAAAAATTATTTTTTCTTTTCAACATATTCCTGTAGGAGTTTCTTTATAGTGGCCATTTCATCTCTGCAATGAATAAAAATATTATATATAAGATAAATTTCGTGTGTCATTATATTAATTTCTAAATTCTTTCATAAATATGAGAATATAGTTTATTGCTTAATAACATGGTAAACCAAATTTAAACACTTACTTATGAACACAATGCTGTATGGTTTCAAAGCACTTTAGAAAGTCATTTAATTTTTTTTTTGTTTAAACTTATCCGGCATTTTAACGAGAAATCATACTAATATGGAAACCTGCGTCTGGAATGCCAGCTGAAAATGGTAGATGTCATTGTACTGCAGTCCACAGTCATTTGCATCATGTACAAGTAGGTGTTAGGTATTCATTTTTAAAGTGTATTTTCTCTCACTAGATGGTTCCACTAGTGAGCGAAAATTTAAACTTGTTTCTTTTTTGTAATAATAGACGATGAGTTTTTTCAGTTCCGGTTTGTGCCAGTATGGACGATATATATATATTTTTTTTTCCATTTCAATGTTTAATGTGAATCAATATGTGGTATCAAGAAATAATTTGTGTTTTCCGTGAAGAAGATTGTTCTTTCCAACCAAGACATCACGTTTAGAGTCCCGACGCATTCGAAAAGGTAAATGAAGTTTTTCTTATTTTTTTAAAAAAAGATGAATAAGTAGAACCTGCATACGTCAGTGGAACTTCAACCAACAGCAGTTAATTATTACTTAATATAAATTTTCTGGCGTCCGCCACTAGGATGTGTTGTCCTAAAGAAAAACGAATAAATGAATATCTAGTTATTTATGCTTTTCAAAACGGAAGTACTCGAATATTGTTTATTTTCTGAAGCTGGATTGTGTTGAAAGAAAACATGCTAATTCAAGTTGAATAGAAATAAATATTTAATATTTTCATCTTAAGATATATTAGAAGTTTTATGTTCTTGAATAAAGTGTGTATTTTAATTTTGTTAAAGAATATTATTGAATTTTAATATTTAGAGCGCTTTTAAGGTATCGAAACAAATTTGTTAATGATCAGTATTCAGTTATAGTTAGTCACAGTACACTGCCCTCCAAAAGTTAAGGAACAGCATGTTTTTGAAGGCTCACCATTACAAAAATGTCAGTAACATTTAAATTCATATTTTATATGCATGATAGTAACGAAGTTCAAGACAATATGTGCAAAAACAATAGCTACCACTTTTATTTTATAGAAAGGAATACTTATATAGGAATTGGAGAAAAATTTAAATTTTATTCACGAGTGTTGATCTTCAGTTGTTAATCATTTTCGTTGACAATATACAAGAAAGTCTATCAATGTCCAGGAAAAACGTCGTTTGCCCGATTCGTTAAGGTGGCGGGTGATCGGATGGATGGGAATGGGGATGCCATACGCTGATGCTGCTAGACGTCTCAATGTCTCTCGCAGTGTGGTCCACCGATTATGGAATCAGTTTGAATTCTTAAATTATGTGTCTAGAAGACATGTTCCAGGCAGACCTAGAGTTATAAGAGCTCCGGGAGACCGTAATTTAGCTCTTTTGGTCCGAAAGAGGAGCAATATTACCATATGCCTCAGCTCATGGCAGATCATTTAGTGGCAATAGGAACAAGAATCTCAGCCACTACAGTGCGCAAACGCCTGCAAAATACAGGTCTGTATGCAAGAAGACTAGTTGTTTGTGTCCCTTTGGCCCGAGGACAGAGAGATATCCGTTTACATTGGACAAGAGAACACATCTTATGGACCAGTCAACAATGGGTGTTTGTTCTCTTTACAGACGTGGCCAGGTTCACGAAGAGTGCTTCAGGAGAGTGATTACTGATCTAAAGGGAACAACACACCAGAAACAACTAATCCCTCATTTTGGAAAGAGAAAGTTAGAGAGGTGGTGGAATAATGGCTTGGGCTGGTCGGTGGTCACATTTGTTTCGTGGAGGAACTTTGACCGACATAAGATATCGAGACGAGATCATTGATGAACATGTCCGCCCATATGCCGCTGCTATTGATCCTGGATTTCTTTTGATAGAGAGCAATGCGCGACCGCACTGAGCTCGGGTTGCTGAAGAATATCTTGAGGGTCACGGTATGGAGCGGATGGAATGGCCAGCTCAATCCCCAGACCTGAATCCGATAGAGCATCTTTAGGACTACATTGGGAGACAGGCTGCTGCTTTAAGTCCTCCTCCAAGGTCGTTAGATAAGCTTGAAAAAAGATTACTCCGTGTCTGGTCGTTACTTCCCAATTCATTGACCTACAACTTAATTTGTAAGATCTGTCTCTATTATTCGACATAAACTAAATTAGATCCTGCAATGAATCTGGCGAATTTTCGCACAGGCGTGAATTAATTACCCGCAACAGAAGAAGGGTGAAAATAAACCTTTATTGATTCAAACTAATTTAACAGAAAGGCACGGACTCCGTGCGTTACAACCACACCGTCTACTTGCGGTGAAAATTAAAACGTAGAATATAATACAAGTCAAACCCTTTCGTAGCAAAATGCTTATTGGCGCCCTTTTTCTTGACATAGCCAAAGCATTTGATAGGACTTGGCATACGGGTATTATTATCAAGCTCATGCGACTTGGTATTCCGGCTCAATCCCATAATTAACTCGTATCTCACTAATCGTTCTTTCTCAGTACGAGTTAATTCTGTCATTTCGGCTCCCCGTCCAGTCCTAAGTGATGTAGCTCAAGGTAGTCTACTTGGATCGACTATATTCAACATCTTTATCAACGACATTCCAAAATCACCCAGTGTTACTTTAGCACTCTATGCAGATGACACGGCCATCCTAACAAAACACAAACATTTCAATGTTCTGGTTCACAATATTCAGAGTTATCTCCATAGCCTTGAGCACTGGCTTATTACTTGGAAAACCAAAATTAACGTCGCTAAATGTGCTGCCATGATATTCACACGCTCCCGAATCCCGTACCCTACCATTAATATAAAGTCTTGGATGACTATGTCTACTGGTCAAATTCATATAAGTATCTAGGAGTGATACTTGATTCCAAATTAATCTGGCGTCTTCATATTGATTATGCACTCAACAAAGCGAAGACTGTCAGAACCCAACTTTACTCCCTTCTAGGCCGAAAGAGCCCTTTGTCAATCAAAAACAAAGTTCTTCTCTATACTTCCAGCATTCGACGCATATTTTTATATGCTTACGCCATCTGGGGTACAGCCAGCCGCAAAAACACACAACAAAAAACTTCAAGTCTTCCAAAGTAAGACCCTGCGTTTAGTCCTTAATGCAGCCTATTATGTGTGATTCATTCGGATCTTAACATTAAACCCGTAGACGTTGTTATTAAAAAACTTCGTTAAAATTTATTCCTCAAAATTGAACATATTGATAACCGTGCACTTCAACGATCCAGCCTACGATCCTGCTATTCGCAGCTCGCAGAAAAGACCTCGCTCCATCATCGGACGCGAATACGATATCTATCTTCCAGGTAAAAGGCGTAGACCCACCCCTGTCTTCTCAGTTCTAACGCCCGGCCCATGAAGGACCCGTACTGATGTAATTGCTCTGCCATAATTGCTTTCTCCTACTCCAATATTACTGAAAAGTGGCCACCTGTGCATTCTTATTAATCTGTTCACTATTTAATCACATCATGCCCGCTTCTGTACTGGATATTTCGTCGCGAAAATTTAATCTTTACTTCACTATGATTAGTGCCATATGCCAATGAGCCTATTAATCTGTAAAATCTTTCCTTTCCGCTTTTTGCTTTAGTGTCGTATTTATGTGTATAAAATTAAAAAAAAAATACTAAAAAGATGTTATATAAAATTAAAAAGTACAAAAATAAGTTTAAAATCATAAAACTTCCAGAAAAACCGAAACTTGATTTTTCCTATCCCTAAACTTTCTCGAGCTAATGTAGCTCCCTCTAGTGTGTATCATGATAACCAATTATGCAATTTTCCTATTTCTGCTCACTACTTAGATATTTTTCTGACGTGGAGGTACATGTTTTTGATATATAGGCACTCCGTAACTTATAATCATTGGCACTGGCAAATCAAACCTAAAATAAATATTGCAAGAGCGCACTTAAGCTTACGCCTAAGAGGTGGACCCACAAGGAATCTAACCAGCGTGATACTAATCTGATAAGGCCAAGAGGCTTACTAGAGGCTTATTAAATAACAACGAAACGTGCGCTTGGCTAGCGAAACACGCTCTGATTAAAATGAGATAATCACACGTTTAAATAGCACTTCATTTAATTTAGATTTACATCCTGGCGAGAGAATGTGAGGGGAAGTTGTGAAGTTTAAAACAGGTATCAAACTTAAAATAAATTTGTTATGCAAAATAAGGAAAATCCTACAATTTGACAGCATGGAAAATCGCTTCGGCCAATGTATTGCAGCTAGGGGTGGACACGTTCCTTATTAGAACCCATTTTTGTAATATTTCCACCCCATCTATCCTCAAAAAACTGTGATATGCTGTTTCTCCAAGACTGGATTTCTCTGCCAAGAGTGCAACTTTTTGTTGTAATTCATATTTGTGTTGAACTTGTCTTCTAAATTTCTTGTTTCTATGTTGTTTCATTCTCAAATTAGATATAGAAAACTTTCCGTTCCATGACTTTTGGAGGACAGTATATTTTAAAATTGATTAATAATAGAACATGGATAAATTAAAAAAGAAACATGCTCCTTTATGTGCGTCATTTATAAAAACGTATAATATTCTGAAATCTAGACTAGATTTGTATGCTTAAATCGAAAGCATCATGAGCGAATTAAAGGTTTTATAAAACAATATAATAGATATGTTACTAGATGATGATAAATGTGATGAGTCCATCATTGTGAAAGAGATGGATAAAAATGAGAAATATTCTGATGAATATATCACAATTAAAAGAAAAAGTTACTGAACTACTAAATGTAAACAAAGTTCCGAATGACACTGTTTTTAGTAATTCTGATGTTAGTTGTAACTCTAAATCCAAACCGTATAAATTACCTAAATTGAATA